GTAATGAAAATTTAGCATACACAGATAAACTCAACACAATCGTTTCATAAAAATCTAAAACATTAAAATCGGAGTAAAGATACAAAGTATATAAACTGAAATTACATGGATTATAGACAATCCTATCAAAATTAAAATTTGTATTAAATATATTCCGAAGCTATATCCTATCAATGACACTATTATTAATAATTAATAACTCAAAAAAGTATGCTTTAAAAAATAGCGCATTTACAGGTTATAACTATTGCAAGAGTACAGGAATCAATAGCAGACAAATACGTTAAAACATAAGATTTTCCAACTCAGAAAAAAAAGCGTTCCACGGTTATGATTTTATTTTTTTTCATCTCGGTCATAGCTCACGGTAAAATTGCCAACACCAAACAAAAACATAAACGAACTCCAAAAGTAATCACAGCACGAGAACTGCAAAGATGTAGGTACCACAAAATCAATAACAAACAATACCAACAAATAGCAAAAATCTGACATCATTAATCTCTCCAGTTTAGCTACTAAAACGGGATTCGGGGTTGAAAAAAGGATGAGGCGTTCAAAACTGATAATTTCCTATAGTCTTATAATGCACTCCAAATTTTCAGAAAATGAAGCAAGATAACAATACAGTAATAAAATCAGCGGTAACGACGAAGAGAAAGGGTGTTGTTTCGCTTCCAGGTTGCCCTGCGTGATGGACGGTTATTGTGGTATAGATGTCCTCTGCCACGTAAACCCCTGTTACTTTTCCCAGCAGAAGTGAGGCCACGAAGTTCCCTGTGCTTATGGACTGGATTGCAGAGCCAGTTAATTCTTGGATCATTTCTTACAGCACTGTGGGCAACATCCACCAGAATGATCTCAAAATATTTGTAGGTTGAGTCCTGTAACACAGGAACAACATCACAATAACCAATCAGCAACCTATAAGCAGCTTCCACTTTACACGAATGGAATAATATGTTAACTAACCTCATTCACCCAGTAAGAATTGAGGACCCTGAGGCCACCCAACTTCCTTCCAGCTCGCTCTTCAGCAACGGACCTCTTGCTGCGTTGAAACTTCAATTGAGTAACACCTTGGTTGGTTGGCTTACCGTAAACAATACCTTTGGGAACTGGTCTCTTCCTGCCACCCCTCCTAACACGCACACGGTAAACCACATAACCCTGGAATAACACCA